TGGTGTTCTAATAATATTCCTGCAATTCTTGGTATAAGCCATTGAAATTGATTAAATGGTTGGTGCTGAAAATTGGTATAAAGGTGTAATAAGCACTGCTAGATATCAATACATATGGGGAACTTGTGTGCAATAGCCAAGTGTTGTTAGTGTTTTAATGAATTTTTTGACTTGCGGCATGCTAACCAGATAGTGTGATTACATTCTGTGTTATGGTTAGTTGAAGAGAAAACCAAATAGTGGATGAGGAAAGGACCCATGACTCCAAACAAAAAAAAGTACTGTACCAGTATGAACGACAAACTTTCAATTAGAGCATGTACTGTATTGTTTGATTAACCTTAAACACATAGGGGTGCACACAACGAGAGCATCAATTCAATGCTGTCAGGTTTGAAAAATGTAGGAAGTACATTGAAAATAAAGTCTGTAATTGAAATCCAAATAGTCAGATCATCAGCTTCTGGTAACATCTTAGCAAAACAGAGACAAAAGGCACTATAAAAATTTGGAACACTCCCAATGCAGAACCTGAAAAATTTGTGTTGTTGCATTTGCCTCATCTTTGGCAGTTGTTATAAAAGTAAGCATAAGAAATGATTCTTAACACATAAAACACAAAGTAATATAAACAAGTAAAGACTGAGTCCAGCTACAGTGGAAAAGCTCTGTTCCACAAGGCACAGTACTCGCGTCCCATACGTATTCCCTTAGATTAGCCCAATTGCCATGATTTGTCCTCCATTGAGACACTGCAATAGACTGAAGTCAACATCAACCAATCTTCAAATGGCCACTGAAAAGCAATAATGAAGATCAATTAAGAGAAAATTCAACTAATTCAGATAATGGGAACACTTGTTTAGGAAATAGAAGCAGTATCAGGTAAACAAAATATCTAATTACACAAAAGCGAAAAAGTAATGTGGAGACGGACCTGGAGTGGATAATGTCGGAGGATGCTCGCCTTCAAGACCACAACAATGTATCTGCCTCGTCTGCTTAGAAAATGATAGGATGATAATGAGAACCGTTCAAAAACTAAGGACGGCCAAGTTCCATGACGTGATTCTCTTAAGAATCACATGTTCTAACTAGGGCTGGAATACTGGTGAACACTAACTACTTCAAGCAGGTGAAAGCTGGCCTGGAGAGTTGTACAGAGAACTTTCATGGCACACACAAGTATGATTAAGCACCTAAATTACAGGGAACGGGTGAAGACCTTTGATTTGTATTCTCCTGTAAATGCTGGCGAGAAAGATTCCAAGATAATATACACTTGGAAAGTCCTAGAAGGACAATCATCCCTGTGAAAGCAAAGACTCGGCAGTGAATGCAACTTTCTTCCAATGAAAAGCAGGGGCGCCATGAGTTATACGCTAAGACAACACAATAAGGTGTTGGGCCAAGACTGTTTCAACGCTCCCAGCATACGTAAGGGGGATTACAAATAGATCCCTGGCTGTCTTCAAAGAAGTCACTGGGCAAGCATCTTAAGTCAGTACCGTTGAATCAGCCAGGCTTGTGGTTGCACATTGGTTATGTACAGTCAGCAAATAAACAGCCCTGGTTGATCAGACCCCTATCCATCCACAGGCCTGTCTGAGACTGGGTTGTAGGATGTTGACTCCTGAAAACCTTCCAGTATAACCTCAGGTAATGTACAGTACGTACATAATTTGTTTTCCAGTGCGCAACACTCCCACAGAGGCAGTTACCTAAAAAGAAAACATCTTTTTATTTATTTATTTATTATTTATTTATTTATTTATAATTTCGAGCACACTTACAGAGGTACAAAAAAAAAATAACAGATAAGACAGCATGCCAAAGCCACTATACTTATCATAGCATTAGGGCGGCTTGAAAATTTAACTTAAGATTAACTAAGCATGAGGAAATCCAGTGAAAAACATTAATTAAACTGATTACTATAAAGCACAAGTGAGTAATTACAAAGACAGGTCAAATGGTTGCATGCATTTGTTGTAAATTCAGTAGAATGGAGTATTCTGTTAGGTAGTGAATTTAAAAAAATTATAAAGTTAGATTGGGTTTATAGGTTAACATTTATGTGAATTAATTGTGAGAAACATTTAAGATATACAATTTAATAAGGTTTCAGTTATTCCAGTATTAATTTGGTTTTGGGTGAGTCGTGTTCTTTGAGAAGAGAACTTGAATTATAAAACAGGTAGTGTTTCTTTTATATTACAGGTAAATGCATTTCCAGATTTTAGGCCTTTATGTCATTGAGTTTTTGCATAGCGTGAGATGGTACACGAGGAATATCAAAGAGTGATCTGTGCCTTGTGTTATGGTCATTGTTTCTGTTGAGGTTGGCAAGGAATGTTTTTGAGGGGAGGGTTAATATCAAGTTGATGTTCATGTATGTAATAGGTGCAGTAATAAGTATGGATTTTTGTATGTGAGTAGGTTGAGTGTATTGAATATTGGTGGGGTGTGCAGCCTGTAGTGAGAATTTGTTCTCATTCTAACTGCAGCCTTTTTGTTTGGTAATTAGTGGTCTGAGATGTTTACTTGTAGTTGAGCCCCATGCACAAGCTTCCATAGGTGAGATTAGGGGTAAATAAGAGAGTGATAATAGGCCAGAGGGCTGACTGTGGAGCATAGACACCGTATCTTCGATAGTATGCCTAACATTCTTGGAAATTTCTTAAAATTTGTTGTATATGTGTATGAAATTTGAAGTCTATTACCAGGTGGAATTCCTAAGAATTGGTTCCCTCTGTTAGCTTTGTGATAGGTGATCCGTTTTATCATATGTTAAGAGGGACATTCTGTCTCTCTGTACCAGACTGAAATGAAGTAGGTTTTGTCCAATGTTTTAGGTAAGTTTGTTAGTACTCATCCAGGTATATATTTTCCTGTAATTCGGTATTTACAGGATGTAGGCTAGCGTGACTGGGCTCGGTGGGAGGAAGACGTATGTATGTGTCATCACAAACAGTGTGGGTTTGAGTAATTGAGAAGCATTTGGTAGGTCATTTATGTAAGGAGAAAGGGAGAAGAGGGCCATGACACTTCCCTGTGGGACACCAACTGTAATTGTTGTGCTAAGATTTTTGCCCCATTTTTGCGTACACATGTAATATTGGCTTTCTGTTGCTGAGGTATGACTTTGAGGTAGTTGAGGAGTGCCCTCTATACCATATTTGATAATATTACGTGGAGCAAGTCATGGTCAACTGTATCAAAAGCTTTCGTAAGTCCAATGAAGATCCCCATGGGACTATTCTTTTTCTCTATTGCAGGTATATATGTTTCGAGCAATGTGTATAATATCATCATTAGTATTTTTTCAGGCCTGAATCCAAATTGGCAGGGAATGAGTATGTTTTGGGAGATAAGTAGGAGTAATCCGTTTAAGAATATTTGTCGAAGATTTTTGAGAGAGGGTGAAGTTGATATTGGCCTATAGTTTATTCAACTCTGTTTGGGTCTCCTCCTTTGTGGATCGGGGTGACCCTTGCTATTTTTGAGTACTTAGGAATGGTGGAGGATTCAATGAGATTTGTTAAAGCGTTGATTGCAATGATTGGTTATAGCACTTGTGACACTTTCTTGTATTATAAAGGGTGGTAAGGTATTTAAATCTCCTGCCTTTGTTTTTAGTGGCGTTGATAATAAAGGGAGACTTCGAGGGTTAGTCGGAGCTATGAACATGTGTGTTCTGGGTAGTTTGCACGGAGAGGTCTTCATTGGTGGGGGGTTACTGAGCTGGGGATTTTATTGGCAAGTTTATGTCCTATAGTGGAGAAGAAATCATTGAGTCTGTTTGCTGTTTCTGTTGGTGGGAGGTGGGGTTGCATCTGATTTTGCTAATTTTATTCGCTATATCGTCATATCTTTTTGTTCCCAAATTTCTGATAGGGATTTTCCAGGTCTTTTAAATATCACCACGTAATTGGATAATCTTTCTCATAATACAATTTTTTTATGTGCCTTCTTATCATGAACTTGGGGCAAAAATCGAACATTTCTTCCAACTTTGAGCTCATTTCAAGGTACTTTTCATTGGAAACAAAATAGATATCATCTCATTTCCTTAATATGTCTTCCATTCTATACAAATGAGACAGGAAAACTAGATATACAACCATAAATATGCATTACGGAAATACACTGCAAAAGTCGCTGTTTTAAACCAAAAACACAGATTGGAGTTTTATTTTTTTTCTTATTAATAACATGTGTTCTGCAAATTTTTTTTTATACTGTGCACACTGACCACATAGACCCATTCTTTCATATGTAGGCCTACCAATTTCTCTCGCTAGATTTGAAGGCGGTAGAATTTAGGCGTACTAGTACGGCACCAACCCTGGTGTGCAAGCCGTACTAGTACAGCACCAACCCTGAAAGGGTTAAGCAAGGAGCTTTCTATACTGGTATTGAGTTTGTGTCAACCATCTTTAGATATTTTTTAATGTCACCTTTGCACAATTTATAACATTTCTGGTATATTGTAAATATACAGTAGTGTACTGTATACTGTAATAAACAGAATAGAGGAAATCAGCTCTAATATACATTATTTAGGTTTGCATACTGGTTTGAGAGCTGGTCGTCAGTCTGAGTGGTTGGTAAACGAGTACCTTGCTAAGTGAGGAGAGGTTTTACAGGCGAGGCAACTGGTGATGGCATGGGTGAGAGGCAAGAGGGTTGGGTGTAAACAAAGCTAAGTCTACCCTACATAAGAGGCCTGTGATGGGGAGGAAAATTGACCCACCTGTGTCACTGTGATGGCTGGCCACAGCTGGGTGCAAGGTGGAGATGGGTAAAGCCACTTCAAAAGGTAGAAACCTCCAGAGCAAAAGGATGAAATACAATAAATGCGTGGCAAACAGGCAGAAACACGTTAGGTGAAGACATGAAAGGTTATGGTCTGCTGTATTTGCAAGGGTACACTGACTCCATTCTCTATAAAAAGGTTTTCAAGTTTTCATGTGGGGCTCAAATTGATTACTTTACAGGTTTGGTAATGGTGGTGACAGCAGTAGAGGCAGTAATTATGGCACTATTGATGGTCTTCACAATGTTAGTGATGAAGTAACTAAGAGATTACACCAAATCTTGCTCCATCATCAGGTGAGGCCTACTAATTACAACCTTGAATGAGTGTAGATTTCTACAGTGACAGGCAACAAGAATGTTGAACAAGTGGATGAGAGAGAATTCCAGCAATATACTCAGGGTATACTGCTGTGATGTGAAAGATCCTACTCATTAACACTTCTTTCTGTGTTGATGCACTTTTTTTTTTTTTCCTAGAAAAAATTAAAGGCAAGCTGTAGATGAAATGGGGAAATCAGTTAAATACAGATTTGAGTTTATTGGATGCAGAGATAGTGTTATTTACTTTTATGTATAGAATTAATGTTATTAAATTCATTTAATTATTTATAGTTATTGGATTCCACAGTTTTCTTCTACGTAAATTGACTTTTTTGGCTGATGCATTTTTCAGAATGTGTGTAATCTAGATCTATTATTATTTTGAATGATTTCCTTTCTAGGATCATCCTGCCTCAGTGGGAAGTGGCCAGTGTGCTTAGCAATTGAAATTTAAAGCTATATAAACAACTGTGTATATGTATTTTTGTATTTGTATACATCTTACTGCATGTGAGTACATACAGTACATATTAGGGTGGCCCATGCTATACTTTTTTTTTTTTTTTTTATTAACTCAATGTAAAAAGAGAGCAAATGAGAGAGTGGGTGAGCTGTTATCAACAAATTTTGTTGAAAATAAGAAAAAGTTTTGGAGTGAGATTAACAAGTTAAGGAAGCCTAGAGATCAAATGGATTTTGTCAGTTAAAAATAGAGGAGGGAGAGTTATTACATGGAGAGTTAGAGGTATTGGGAAGATGGAGGCATATTTTTGAGGAATTGTTAAATGTTGATGAAGATAGTGAAGCTGTGATTTCATGTATAGGGAAGGGAGGAATAACATCTTGTAGGAGTGAGGGAAAGCCAGTTTGTGAGTGTGGGAATTCGTGAGGCAGTAGGTAAAATGAAAGGGGGTAGAGGCCAGCCGGGATTGATGGGATAAAAGATAGAAATGTTTAAAGCAGGTGGGTATATAGTTTTGGAGTGGTTGGTGCAATTATTTAATAAATGTATGGAAGAGGGTAAGGTACCTAGGGAATTGGCAGAGAGCAGTCATAGTTCCTTTGTAAAAAGGCAAAGGGGAATAAAAAGAGAGTGCAAAAATTTTTTTTTTTTTATTATCAACGAATACCGGCCGATTCCACCAAGCAGGGTGCCCGAAAAAGAAAAACTTTCACCATCATTCGCTGCCACACTGTCCTTGCCAGAAGGGTGCTTTACACTACAGTTTTTAAACTGCAACATTAACAACCCCTCCTTCAGAGTTCAGGCACTGTACTTCCCTCTCCAGGACCTCAAGTCCGGCTGCCGGTTTTCCCTGAATCCCTTCATAAAATGTTACTTTGCTCACACTCCAACAGCACGTCAAGTATTAAAAACCATTTGTCTCCACATTCACTCCTATCAAACACGCTCAAAGCAATGCCTGCTGGAAGTCCAAGCCCTTTCTCACAACAAAACCTCCTTTACCCCCTCCTCCAACCCTTTCCTAGGCCGACCCCTACCTCCCCCAGCCTACCTTTCCACTACAGACTGTAAACACTCTTGAAGTATTCTGTTTCGCTCCATTCTCTCTACATGTCCGAACCCACCTCACACCCTTCCTCAGCCCACTTGACAACAGTTTTTGGTAATCCAGCACCTCCTCCTACATCCAAACTACGAATTCTCTGCAATTATAATTCACACCACAACATTGCCCTCAGGACATACATCTCCCCCACTGCCTCCAGCCTCCTCCTCGAATGCGGCAACATTCATCACCCACAGCTTCACACTCATATAAGAGCGTGTGGTAATACTATACACTCATACATTCCCCTCTTTGCCTCAAGACAAAGTTCTTTGTCTCCACAGGTCCCACAGACTCCTAAGTGCACCACTCACTCTTTTTCCCTCAATCAATCTATGATTCACCTCATCTTCATATACCCATCGCTGACCACGTCCACATCGTCTCCCAATATCTGAATACGTTCACCATCCTCCATACTCTCTCCCTCCAATCTGATATCAATCTTTCATCACCTAATTTTTTCTTTTGTTATCCTCATAACCTTACTCTTCTTCCTGTATTCACCTTAATTTTCTTCTTTTGCACACCAGGAACCAAATACATCCACCAATCTTGCACAACTCCTTTCAGAATCGTCCCAGAGCACAGTGTCAACAGCAAAGAGCAGCCTGTGACAACTCCCACTTGTGTGTGATTCCTTTATCTTTTAACTCCACGACCTCTTGCCAAGACCCTCAGCATTTACTCTCTTCAACCCCATCTATATAATATATTAAACCAACCACGGTTGACATCACACATCCTTGTCTAAGTCCTACTTTTACTGGGAAAGAAATTTACCTCTTCCTACATACTCTAACTTGAGCCTCACTGATCCTCGTAAAAACTCTTCACTGCTTTCAGTAACCTACCTCCACACATCCACTTGCAACATCTGCCACATTGCCCCCCTAGTCCACCCTGTCATACCCTTTTTCCAAATCCATAAATGTCAACAAATACCTCTTTAAGCCTTATCTAAATACTGTTTCACTTAGTATGTTTCCACGTAAAACACCTGTCCACACACCCCCTACCTTTCCTAAAGCCTCCTTGTTCATCGCTAACCTATTCACTCGTCTTACTCTTAATTCTTTCAATTATAACGTCTACCATAGCACTTTACCAGGTACACTCAACAGACTTAATCCCCCTATAAATTTTTGCACTCTCTTTTATCCCTTTGCCTTTAACAAAGGAACTAAGCATGCTCTCTGCCATCCCTAGGTACCTTAACCCCTTGCTTCATACATTTATTACACAATTGCACCAACCGACTCAAAACTATATCCCCACCTGCCTTTTAACATTTCTATCTTATCCCATCAATTATAGGGGATTGTCTGTTGAGTGTACCTGGTAAAGTGGTATGGTAAGTTATAATTGAAAGAATTAAGGAGTAAGACGAGAATAGGATAGCAGATAACAAGGAGGCTTTTACTGAACGGTAGGGGGTGTGTGGACCAGTTTTACAGTGAAACATATAAGTGAACATATGGAGGAGTTGGGGGGCGAATAGAGGTCTTTGGGCATTTATGGAATTGGAAAAGGCGTATGACAAGGTGGATAGGGGGCAAATGTGGGCCAGATTTGCAAGTGTAGGTGTAGGAGTGGTACTGAAAGCAGTGAAGAGTATTTTTATGAGGATAGTGAGGCCAAGTTAGAGTATGTAGAAAGAGGGAAATTTTTTCCCAGTAAAGTATGCCTTATACAAGGATGTGTGGATGTCGACCGTGGTTGTTTAATATATTTATAGAGTGGGGTTGTAAGATAATAAAATCGAGGGTCTTGGCAAGTGGCGTGGAGTTAAAAGATAAAGAATCACACACAGTGGGAGTTTGTCACAGCTCTCTTTGCTGATGACACTGTGCTCTTGGGATATTCTGAAAGAAGCTGCAGAGATGTGGTGGATGAAATTGGTAGGTGTGCTAAGAAGAAAATTAAAGGAGAATACAGGAAAGAGTAAGGTTTATGAGGATAACAAAAAGATTAGTTGAGAAAGATTGAATACAGATTGGAGGAGAGAGTATGGATGATGTGAACGTATTCAGATTATTTGGTAGGAGTGAACGTGTCAGCGGATGGGTCCTATGAAAGAATGAGTGAATCATAGAATAGAATGAGGGAAAAAGAGTGAGTGGGTGCACGTAGAGTCTGTGGAGACAGAGAACATTGTCCTTGGAGGCAAAGATGGTAATGTATGAGAGTATAGTTTTTACCAACGCTCTATATGGGGTTGTGAAGCATGGGTGATGAAAGTTGCAGCGAGTAAGAAGGCTGGAGGCAGTGGAGATGTCATGTCTGAGGGCAATTGTGTGGGTGAATATACTGCAGAGAATTCGTAGTTTGGAAGTTAGGAGAGGGGCGGGATTACCAAAACTGTTGTCCAGAGGCTGAGGAAGGGGTTGTTGAGGTGGTTCGACATGTAGAGAAATGAGCGAACAGAATAACTTCAAGAGTGTAATCAGTCCTGTAGTGGGAAGAAGGCTGGGTAGGGGACGGCCTAGAAGGTTGGAGGGAGGGGGTAAAGGGAGGTTTTGTGTGCGAGGGGCCCTTGGACTCCAGCAGGCATGCGTGAGCGTGTTTGATAGATTGAATGGAGACAAATGGTTTTTTTAATACTTGACGTGCTGTTGGAGTGTGACAAAGTAACATTTTACGAAGTTGGGATTCAGGGAAAACCGGCAGGCCGGACTTGAGTCCAGGAATGGGAAGTACAGTGCCTGCACTCTGATGGAGGGGTGGTTAATGTTGCAGTTTAAAACAGTAGTGTAAAAGCAGACCCTTCTGGCAAACAGTGATGGAGTGAAATGATGGTGAAAGTTTTCTTTTTCGGGCCACCGCTGCCTTGGTGGGAATCGTGCCAGTGTGATAATAAAATAAAAAATAACTCACTGCTGATTCCCACCAAGGCAAGGGTGGCCCGAAAAAGAAAAACTTTCACCATCATCACTCCATCTACTGTCCTTGCCAGAAGGGTGCTTCACACCTGACAGGTTTTTAAACTGCAACATTAACACTCCTCCTTAATATGCAGGACAGGGGTGTTAATGTTGCGTTTTAAAAACTTGTAGTGTAAAGCACCCTTCTGGCAAGACCTTGTGTGTGAATGATGGTAAAGTTTTTTCGTTTTCAAGGCCACCCTGCCTTGGTGGGAATTGGCCCAGTTGAGTTAATAAAAAAAAAAAGTATAGCATGGGCCACCCTAATGTGTACTGTATGAACCGCATGCAGTAAGAGGTATACAAATACAAAACTACATATACACAGCTGTACATATTGCTTTAAATTTCAATTGCTAAGCACACTGGCCACTTCCCACTGTAAAAAAAAAAAAAATGAAAATCTGCTTTTGACAAGGGTGCCCATTGTCCCGCCCTCAAGTTAAGTTTTTCCTTACAAAAAATTATTGATCAAATCATGTTTAGTGGTAAGTGCGTCCTTTTTGCCCCTTCATAGTGTGGGAAGTTTCTTTTTAATTTCAGGTGACATTGAATGACGTATGACTGGTAGTTAAAAACGCAGTAATTTTTGTCCCATATTGGATGTACTTCATGTAAGCTAATTACAAATTGATTGATTTATTGAAATGCAGACTTTATATCACTAAGTGGCAGGCTACA